GTAACTACTAAGAGAGTTAGGCAACCATGTGGGGGATTCACATCCGAAGGCCGGTTGGAATGATATCAAAAAGGCTGTGGAATTAGTAGTGATATCTGCTTGCAAAGTTAACCATAAGGCAAGGATGAAACCGTGGAACTCCGTAGCATCTACCGAACTAATGAATGCTGGAAAACTCATTCCTCCTGGCTCTGAGTGCGATGAGGAGTGGAATCACCTTAGACGTAGGCTGAAAAAAAGCCTCAGTAATACTTCGACGATTAACGAAAGTTCGTGATGAGCAAACTCGAGAAAACCAGGCTGGTTTTCGACCTGGACGTGGTTGTATAGACCTGATCTTCACACTACGACAGGTCCTGGAACACAGACACACATTTAGACGTCCTACAATAGTTATTTTCCTGGATCATAGACATGCTCCTAGATATAACCTTATCCTCGTCTGAATTTTCAGGAGTAGACCTTTTACCAGGTGACTCGCTTGTTGACTTAGAATATGCCGATGACATTGTCCTACTTGGTGAAGACGCTGACATAATGCAGAGTCTTCTGACTACCCTGAGCAACAATGCAAGCATGTTCGGGATGCGGTTCTCCCCATCGAAATGCAAAATGTTGCTTCAAGATTGGGTTTCATCGGCACCTGAACTAGTGATAGGGAGTGAAGTAGTCGAACGTGTAGACCACTTCACTTATCTTGGGAGTCTCATCAGTGCTGATGGACTGATGAATGACGAAATCTCAGCTCGTATACAGAATGCTCGATTGGCTTTTGCCAATTCACGCCGTTCATGGCGTAGGCGACATATCCGTTTGCTGAATAAAGGACGAGTGTACTGTGCAGTAGTTCGCTCCGTCTTACTTTATGGCTGTGAAACATGGCCAGTGAGAGTAGAAGATACTCGTCGGTTATTGGTTTTCGATCATAGGTGTCTTCGAAGCATTGCTCACATGTCATGGGACAACCGTATAAGCAATGCTTTAATTAGGAAACTGGTGCTAGGTAAGGATGTCAGATCGATAGATGAAGTAATGAAACTTCATCAGTTGAGGTGGTTGGGACTTGTGTTGCGTAAACCTAACCACCGACTCCCTCGACGAGCTTTGTTTTGTAGTGTAGGAGTGGGTTGGAAGGAATTTAGGGGGGCCAGACCAAAACATGGCAAAAATCCATGAAGTCATTAACGAGTGGACTTTACCATGTCGGTAGGTGTTGACTACTTGGTTGGGGTACGCGAGATAATAATAATCGATGGTTAGAGACTCTGAATGACATGGCTCAAAATCGTTTGCAATGGCGCCGGTGCATTTATTCTTTGTGTTCTCTCAAATCTTAAACTCTTTTGATTCTTCGTCACTTTATCTTTATCTTCTTAAGTCTGTTTCACTAGATTCTACTTCTTGAATAATATCTTCTAATCCTAACCTCTCCGATTACTTCTAATACCTTTACTACCTCTACTACAGTTGGATCTGAACTGACAATTACAGCTATGTGCTAATATGGTATGGCAAGATGAACTGATGTACTTACGTACGAAGTTCTACGTTGCATCTGACTGGCTGAATAAACTAGATTATCTATATATTACTTAATTCTGAAATGTTATTTATATTAGCATTATAATGTCCTCCTATTTATTCTCCACATTGCAGCTAACTGATCTCCGCTCTGGTAATGTGATAGCTATTAATAGCCATAAGTCTACTCCCTGAAACCAGCGTTTTCATTCAAATCACGGGACATACAAATTCACGAACGAATGCCTACTAAATAGAATTATGTCGCCGAATGGCTAGAGGCCCATCTATTGGACACTAGTAAACACCTGGGACCGTACCAGAAGAACAAGAATCGATCTCAAGGAAATCAATTTGTTCATATTAGCTCGTGAAAAAGAAATTGGATATTGGAAGATCAGCCACACATTCTAGTAGATGGTCGAAAGTATCTGTTTCGGATGAATTCCAGGAAGCAGTGTATGTCGTGTAGTCATTCAGTTTGTGGTTAGTTTTACTGACATCTGTAGTCGAGATACAAGGTAATTAGAGTTTAGGGAAAAAATCTATTGTACCTGTAGGACGGTCAGAGTAAAATACGGATTGGTCACTGTTCTCACGTTTATTTTATCAGCATTAGTAGCGATTTCAGATAATTTAAAGGTATTGAAGACGACAGGCTAAAGTAAATGTCTGTTAGATATCCAAGAAGTGGTTTAGAGGTTAACTGTGAGTAGAATTTAACTATATGGGTGCCATCTATTCAAACTTAACTTCAAAGCAAAAAATTTGTCTTAAGGACGTTCGCATTGAAAATTCTGATTTAGGTGTTTATTGAGAGCTGCTTCACTTTCCAGGTGTTCTTCGATTGCAGAACTGCTGTCTTTGCTTTGCTAATCCGTCCATTCACATTTGCATCAGATCCAGCGTGTTTATCAATGATGCTGCCCAAGTATGTAGAAGTTTTATCATTTTTCAAAGCATATCCGTCAAGTGTGATTATCTCAGTATATGTTGTGTTGTATCGACAGATCTAGTTTTTTTCTTTGTGTATGTTGAAACCTACTGTTGCAGAGGCTGCAGCTACATTGATCGTCTCCTCCTGCACTCCGTAGTGTCTAAGGAGCCTCCATAGTGTTTTCCTATCCACGCTGTAGAATACTTTCTCGTAGTCAATTAAGTTTATGTGCAATGGTGAATCCAATTCAATTGATTGTTCCACAATGATCTGTAGTGTGGAGATTCACCTGATACATGATCAGTCATTGCGAAAACCAGTCCTACTCGCTTTTCTCGCTGTTTTTCAATGTCGCTGATTGCTTTGTCTTCCTTTTTCCTGACTAGTCATCCTGGTTTACCATGTTTTCCGGCAAGCTTCATCATTGTGTTATGTGTTTGTCTGATGTTTCTTTCTCTTGCAGCTTTTTCCTCCATCATGGCTAGGTCTCTCACATATTTACATTTGTCAGCTCTGATGCTCTACTTCACTCCCTTGTTTGATTCTGTGTATTTATCTTGTGCCTTGACTTTCAGTGTATTTGTTCGGCTGACATTGATTAGGGTTTTCTTGTTCTTCCTTTCTTGAATCGTGCTTAGACTATGAACAGAGAGCGATTACTTATGGTGGTGCTTCTTGTGACTGAAAACCTCTGGCCATGTTGAAGTTGTTGCTTCTTTAGGCCTTACCAGTTGCTCTTCATGGTGATTTCCTCTTCACTGAAAGGCTTAGAACTTATTACTGAGAGCTATCTTAAATTTGTTTAGTTTGCCAGTATCCCGAAAGAACACCGCAATAAAGGTTTGTGATATTGTCCTCCCCGTTGTCCAGTTCTCCTTGAGTTTCAGTTTCATCTTGGCCACAAACAAGGGTTGATCTAAATCTATGTCACATCCTCTCTCGGTTCTTACATGCTGTATCGTTCTTCTAAAATTTTTATTGATGCAGATGTGGTCTGTTTGGTTCCACGTAGTGTCATCCGGTGAAACTCATGTAGCTTTGTGTGGTAATATGGAACACATTGGTTTGTGAATCTCTTACCATCTCACACCAATATTTAAATCCATGATTTCAATGGACTCCTAGATATATCCAATTTAAGCAGGATAGAAAATGGTCAGCAGAACCGAACAGCTTGTATTTAGAATGCGCAACAAACGCAGAATAATATTGTACATAGTTTTCCATAATTATGTAATCACTAAACATCGTTTCTTCAATTTTTACTGAAAAACTCGTAGATGCAGTAACTTAGTACAGTAATATATTGTACAAACAACTTACTTACTTACTTACTTACGCCTGTTACCCCCAATCGAGCATAGGCCGCCCACCAGTTTTCTCCAATAACTACATATATGTAAATACACATTACATATATATATATATATATATATATATATATATATATATATGTTAGAATTTCAGTAGATCTTTCAGCAAATTACTTTTACGTGTCATATTTTCTTATAAAAATCTACATTTGCATGGGTGCTTCCTCCAGGTACTTCAGTGAGAGGTAGTTCGGTAAAGATGGTTAAGTAAAACTCTATATCTATATACATTTTTGAATGTCTCTACCTACTTAATTTCGCCTCATTTGTAAATTTATCATAGGTGTTGGTTTCCTTAGTTAAGATAAGCTTTCCGCCCATATTCATTCACACTTACTTTGTGCTTCCGTTCTGGGACCTTGTTCTTGATGGCATGTACTGCTGCAAATTTCTCGTGATCATTATTAAACCAATTGTACATATTTTTCTCAGTTTGCATCTCTTTTTTTTTTCGTACATTATAACCCTAGAAAACTAATGAGTGCATATAATGTTAGGAAGTAATATTTTGTGATCATATGCTTGTTGATTGTTTGGATCTTGTCAACACGTAAGCATATCGTAACTGGAGTTAACATTCGTGTAGCTGTTGCATATTCACTTATTTTTGAACCACTTTCATATGTCATAGTTTTTTTCGTTTGTTAATTTTTTTTTTCTGCTCCTGTTCAGTCCATCACAATCTTTTGACAAAAAAGTGTGTAGATACCTTTAAATTGCAAGTATCTAGTACTCAAAATGATGATTTAATGAACTTTGGCATTAAGTTATATTTTATGATGTGTGAAAGAACAGCTAATTATATGGCTTGCAAGGCCAATGAAATTTTTGATTTTATATTAAAAACACTTCATTATTAATTTATTTTTTTATTTGTAATAAATTAAAAAACTATACAATTCTCCTGGTTTCATATAAATGACTTTGTTAGTCACTGTGGTTGTATTTCGATTAAGATTATTCTGTTTTATAAAATCTACTTTACATTCAAGCACAGCAGAGATATGATTTTATTTCAAATATAAGAAATAATTGAACAGATTTCGAATAAGAAAATAACACTAAAAATGTTTGAATACTTAAAATAAAGGTATTGCATATAAAAGTAAAATATTACCTTAATTTATCTATGTATATATGACATTTGTAAAAATATTTATTTATTCTTTTCATAAACAGTTAGAACATAAAGAAATCTGGTTAGGAAGAGCGTCACGACAAGGACAAAAACGAGAAAATACATGAGATTCGTTCATAGTTCCTGAAGCAGTACAATCAAACCATTCATGACTAGCTTGAAAAACACATGAACTGCTTGCATCGTCCCAATATGGTGCCATCGGACTAGTTGAGTAGGTAATATTAGGACAAGAAATACCAAAACGTTGAAGGTTTAGTCGGTTATTAATACTTGGAAAGTGTTCTGGAGAACAGCGAAACGTGTAAAGGTAAGACACATTTGGTGAAGGGGTAGCATGTATAGAACGATAGTAAAGGTACCCATTCTGTATTTGGGGATGTTGAGGTATGTCATGAATGGAATGAGCAGAAATATCAGGATGTCCTGCAAAAGTGTTTCCTGAGGTTTTCAGACTCATGCACACTTCAGAACAAGATTTACCGGAAGATCCCAAAACTATCCTTAAACTTGAAGCTGGAGGCCATGTAACAGAGGTGTCAGAGGCATCCATGTAGTTAAATTTTTCAGACCCATCAGACACTGGCACCGGCAAAGGAGATTGGATCAATTTGTTGTAAAAAGGTGTTGAGCAAATATTTTGACGTGTTAAGTAAGCGTTGAGACGTTCGAAAAAACCCCATGGACTATATTCGTGAGGACGATAGGATCCTTTCTAAAAAATCAATAGACAGTGATTAAATATCAATCAGTAAAGTGTGATTCAACCGTCCAAATTTACCGATACAATTTCTCCTAACCAAAGGGATAACTGTTATATGACTAATGTCAGATTCATACACATATCAGCACAAAGTTTACTGGCAGATCTCAAAACTATCCTTAAATTTGAAGCTGGAGGCTATGAAACAACGGTGTTAAGGATATCCATATAGTTAAGTTTAGGAGACCCATCAGCTGAGTGATGACTTAAAGTTACTAATTATTCTCTTTCTTAGAGTATGATTACGAATAAAAAGTACATAAAAATTCAAGAATAGCAACGACATCTTACTTTAATGGTTGTCAGAATACGTTGAACAGTTTGACGTATCTGTGTCTCATTGCCCATATCAATCAAATAGGAATAAGGTTCACTGATATGGTTTTCAATATATGGATGTTGGCTGGTAAGCTGAAAACACAAAAAGTTAATCCGTATTAAAATATTAGGTACTATTCATTAAAATTTCTCACTTTCCATGAGAGTGACATCAGTTTTGTTCATGATTCGTTACTGAACAGTAACTAGGAATTTCAAAACCTCCTAATTCATCTCAAACAGAAATTAAGTTGGGAAAATCGAAATACATAATTTTCATAATAGAGTTGTGAAGATTGCTGAGTTCCAATGAGACCATTAATCGATCATTGTCAGACCACCATTAGAAACCTGGAAATACTGGACGGCGGTTTCGTCATAATGTGAGACTCATCAGCAGTGATCATAGATGGGCCAGAACCCTGGAATCGAACCTAGCTCCTTCGGTATGGCTTGTGAACGCTTGACCCCTAGAACAATGAACCGGCAAAGAACGGTGTTAATGTCTGACTTTAATCAACCCAAGGTATTGCGCAATCTCACCTATTGTCATTGGTAGGTAATTGCTTAAACACAACTGGGTTGAAATTCACTGGTCACGGTTTCTCACTAAAACTTTCAGAATTTCCCCACGAAGTTAGTCATTAGTGAGCTAATTTCTATGAAATTCATCACACAGTTGTGTGGACATAATACAATATAGAATACAATCTTCATCTAACTACATTCTCCACTCTACTTTCCAGTTCTACGCTATCGCAATTCATTCTTTTCATGTCTGCTTCCATTTCCTCATCCACTAATGTTCTTTGGTATTCAACTTTTCCTTTTATCTTCAGGATTCTAAGTTTGGGCTCGCCCACTGACGCAGCTGGGTGCTTTTCGCAATGTGCGGTTTGTTCTCTCATACAGCAGATTGTTTCTGAAAGTGTCTAGCCTATGGATCCTCAGTATCTTGAGTAAACAAGCCTTAATAAACATCTGAATTTCCTTCATCATGTTTTCGTAGTTTACTGATTTTCTGCACCATACGATCGACCTGTCTGATGTTCCTATTGAAAATTCTGAATTTGGTGCAGTACTGCAATTTTGTCTATAGACGATCGATCCCTGCAGAATCCAGACTGCTGATCTGGAAGTTGGGCGTCTGATGAATCTTTCATTTAAGTTCAGACAATAAAGAAAGATCATTCTAAAATATTAATTCTTCATTTCACCAAAATGATAGGAGGAGCTTTCTGAATCATCCTAATCAAAACTTGAATCAAACACAAGTCCATTAGAGATATTAATTCCGTTGAAAAAGCATTTAGAGATCCTTAGTGAATCGCATATCTAGAAGACTAGTAAATTCAGTGACAACCCATGTTGAAGTCTCCTCTAGCTACACAGTTAACGTATTATTTGAATATCCTTTCATGAAAGTGCGATCATAAGTACGTGTTAAATTATATATATGAAAAATAACTTCATCCCAGCTTTTTCTATCGATTCCCGGTGCCCTACATATTGCTCGATTTCGTGTGAAGTCAAATAGAGAACCTCGTAAAGTTTGACCACCAATCTGGTTAGTTATTCGAGAGTGTTTCAATTCAGTGTTCAAATATATAAACAGTTCACTGCTCTTATCCTAGTACTGAAACTGGAAGGTCAGTTTCAAGGCTACGAACGTAGGCACAAACATCATCACTGTCCAATTGTTCATTACTGAATGTAAGAATTACTCACTTCTGATCATTACTGAATACAGTGAAGGTTACATTGAAAAAGTTATGAAATAACTTCAACTTGAATGAGCCATTCATGGAGTCAAAGTGAGCTTGTTGAAATGTTATGTACCCGACTCATTACAAGTTGACGAATGACGAAACATTAGGCTAGATCGACGTGATGTTTTTGGTTTTAATTACTCTCAGAAATCGTCACTAGCACTTATATAGCTACAGCATGTACTAGAAATCTGTAAGTAGCTTACAACAGTGTCAGAAGCAAAGTCAAAAATTAAAAATCGAAACTATGAAGATAAAATAAAATTGAATGAAATCGAAATTCTCTATCACAGGAGTAAAGGCATGAATAAACAAATGTGCTATTAGTACAAATCGAAAGAAATATCACCGTTTCATCCACATGGATTATCATTTGTCACAGATTGATAGAGATTTATTTATGGGGGTTGGGATAATCGGATTTAAGTAGCATGTCGTGTCGCCGGATCCTCGATCCTCGCTCTCGTTTTCCGACTAGGTACACTCGTAATAGTTCAAGTATATCAAGTTGACGTGGTTACGTGCAGGCATAACAAAAATGACGAGTATTTAGTTAAAATGATGATGAGATTATGACAGTTATTTACAAATCAATAGTTTCCAGTAGTATCTAAAAGCAATTTAGTGTTTAGAGAATATGTTCTTATACAAAAATATTTTTGGCCTCTAACTGTTTATCAATTTTACAAGATTAAATAATGAATTCATTGTATGAACCTTACAGCTTAAAGTTTATTATCTAAGTAGTTTGTACTAATCGCAATCAAGACGGTTTTCAGAAAGTTAAAAAAAATGATACAATAGTTCTCTACATAAATATGAACAAAATAGAACTAAGATAAGAAATTACAGAAGAATAAATGAACATATAATTCATAGAAGTGTATTACATCGGTTCATCTTTTCACTCATACAAATATTCATTTCAAGAAACTATGTTGGAATATGTCAATTATATGAATAATCAAACTAATTCGGAAATTAAGACAATATATATCCATTATAAACTGTACCTTTATATGAGAAGATAAGTCGAGTTAATAGTTCATTTATTCATTCCTAATATGTAACAATTGGTAAATGTACTAATATTTTATCAAAAATACTACCTAAAAGAATACTACTTACACCTCGTGAAGTTGGTTTATCACTAAAAAATGATTCAGTAGTTCGACTGTGAGGTGGACTAAAACGAGGATTGAGAAAAATTAAACCATTAGCAATGGCTTCTAAAGGTGCAGGACCTTCATAAGGAAATCCCAATCCAATCATAACCTACAATAAAATTTCGAAAATAAATATTCCACAATTACAAGAAATAATAAATACAAATTTTCAATACAATCAACCAATAGAACCACATTTTTCAACAATTTCGAACTCACAACTTTCTTTACATATAAAATAATTTGAGTTAATTAAGTGTCCATTAATCAAAGATTTCAAATAGGTCTTTTATTATGACGCCAGAAACGTAAAGCGTGAGAAAGTTTTAGGCAATCACACTCAACTACCGACCGTAGCTGCTACCTTGACGTGGTGGTCGGGCTTGCCTATCGTGATGACCCAACCGAGCTATACTGGCTGGAACATATGTTCCTCAAGGTTCTACCATGCCAGACAGGTCGATTGGAGAACGATGAGACTATAAGCAGCTACCCAAGGTCTGAGGGCGAAGTCGTACTGCTGACTGCAGAGGGGTGTGACAGCAGTAAGGTGTTTCCCTCGGACAACCAGCATCTGCAGCGATGCTGCCTTCTCACAAGGAAGGAAGGGTTAGAAAAGGTCGACCCTAAAAATGTCACACCTCCCCTAACTCACGGATTTCCGTCTCCTTGGGTTAGGGTGCCCACTAAGGGCCTTTAAGAACGCAGCTAATCCTCTAAATACCTTTCATAAAAAGGCCGTGCGTGACCGGCCTCAAGCAGTTGTCCCTTGGGCTCTGCGGTCACGCATCAACACTAATCTATCTTTCTTTTCAGGTTCCTCAAGAAACAACCTTCCACGGTGTGGGCAGCCGGGAAGTGACAACCGCCCTCATACTCGTGACAGCACGTGAGACCAAATTGGTCAAAATCAAATCCTTCCTACACCCCCTAGTACCTCTCTTATCTCCACGACTAACTCTTCTCACATTCATTCATCACAGTGCACAGCTAATGCAGACGATACGAGTTCGCGAAACGTCGTTCCTGGTCTCCTTAAACCTCGCTCTAGACTACATGTTGGAGCATTTAATGTACGGACATTGTGTCAAATAGGGCAACAGGCTTCCTTAGCTAGGACCTTAGAATCTCGTGCCATCGATGTATGCTGCGTCTCGGAAACGCGCATACAGGATCCGAGTCGCGTCATACACTTGGCCACACCATGTCAAAATAAAGAAGCAGCTCGATTTACTCTTCGTGTATCCGGTAGCCCTGATGCTGCTTCCCGGGGTCTTGCTGCCGTAGGCAGGGCATTGAGTCGTAGGGCGGAACAATCTCTCCTTGACTGGATCCCCCTAGTCTTAATGAAGTTGAAAAAGCGTTAGGAAATCTGAAACGAGGACGAGCTGCAGGTCCTGATAGACTGACCCCTGAGACATTTAAGGATGGTGGTCCAGTTTTAGCAGCTAGATTGACTGAGATCTTAGGTAGAATCTGGGAACTGTACGTAATCCCATCCGACTGGTCTCAATCACTGACTGTCCCAATCTATAAGAAAGGAGAGAAGTCTTCTTGTGACAATCACAGAGGAATAAATCTAACTAATATAGTATCTAAAATATTGGCCTCAGTAATACTTCGACGCTTAACGAAAGCTCGTGAAGAGCAAACTCGAGAAAACCAATCTGGTTTTCGACCACATTTTCAAACTACGACAGGTCCTGGAACACAGACACACATTTAGGCGTCCTACAATAGTTGTTTTCCTGGACCTTAAGGCGGCATTTGACTCAGTGGATCGTGAGGTTCTGTGGCAGTGTCTGTCATTGAAAGGTGTACCTAATAAGTACATTAACCTCATACAAGCTCTCTACTCAAACACCACTGGTCGAGTGGGAGCTTATGGCGAACTGTCAACGGACTTCTCTACTTCAAGTGGTGTCCGTCAGGGATGTCCACTCTCTCCATTTTTGTTTAATTTCATCATAGACATGCTCCTAGACATAACCTTATCCTCATCTGAATTTTCAGGAGTAGACCTTCTACCAGGTGGCTCGCTTATTGACTTAGAATATGCCGATGACATTGTCCTACTTGGTGAAGATGCTGACAAAATGCAGAGTCTTCTGACTACCATAAGCAACAATGCAACCATGTTCGAAATGCGGTTTTCCCCCTCGAAATGCAAAATGTTGCTTCAAGATTGGGTTTCATCGGCACGTGAACTAGTGATAGGGAGTGAAGTAGTCGAATGTGTAGACCGCTTCACTTATCTTGGGAGTCTCATCAGTACCGATGGCCTGCTGACTGACGAAATCTCGGCACGGATACAGAAAGCTCGATTGGCTTTTGCCAAACTGCGTCGCTTATGGCGTAGGCGAGATATTCGTTTGCTGAATAAAGGACGGTGTACTGCGCAGTGGTTCGCTCCGTCTTACTTTATGGCTGTGAAACATGGCCAGTGAGAGTAGAAGATATTCGTAGGTTATTGGTTTTCGATCATAGGTGTCTTCGAAGCATTGCCCGTATATCGTGGGACACCCGAGTGAGCAACGCTGTTATTAGGAAACGGGTACTAGGTAAGACTGGCAGATCAATAGATGAAGTTTTGAAACTTCATCAGTTGAGGTGGTTGGGACACGTGTTGCGTATGCCTAACCACCGACTCCCTCGTCGAGCTTTGTTTTGTAGTGTAGGAATAGGTTGGAAGAAAGTTAGGGGCGGCCAGACCAAAACATGGCAGAAATCCATGAAGTCATTGACGAGTGGACTTAGCCATGTTGGTAATTGTCGGCTACCTGGTTGGGGTCCGCGAGATGATAATAATCGATCTCAGAGACCTTGAATGACATGGCTCAAAATCGTTCGCAATGGCGCCAGTGCATTTATTCTTTGTGTTCTCTCAAATCCTAATCTTCTGGGTTCTTCAACACCTCTAGTTTTGACTTTCTAAACTTTTCTCATTGAATCATACTTCGTGAATAATATCTTCTAATCCTAACCTCTCCGATTACTTTTAATACCTTTACTACCTCTTCTACTATTGGATTTGAATTGACAATTATATCTCTGTGCTGATGTGGTATGGCGACATGAACTGATGTACTTACGTACGAAGTTCTACGTTGCAACTGACTGACTGACTGTTTCACACAATTTATTTTCATTATTGCTTTACAGCAAAAAGATAATTAACGGAAATAAGCCAGTAAGACGCAACTGAAAAAGATGATATATGCTTACATAACAAACTATCTGGTAAGCATTATAAACATCTTAACTCCGCCTGTAGAACATTGTGCGCGAACGCCCTAACCGTTAGAACACTGAGCCGGTATCCAACGGTGTTAATTTATCATATAAACTTACTTGAGCTTTCGACAATAATTCTAAATATGGTTGACCATATTGTAATTGATGTATGTGAACAAAATCCGGTAATTTATCAATTTTATCCAACACATTTCCATGTAATTCAAAGTAATCCGACAAAATTCTCAAGTAGTTTGTTTTATTCTGAAAAAAAAGTTATTTAATTTGAGCTAAGAAAGACAGAAAACACTGCTTGGAGAAAACAATTAGATTAAAGATAACTAAAATACTGTTTATCACTTAAATCGACACGTATGGAAACATATATGCCTGAAATCGTCGATTTGCATTGGATCTAAGGAGTAATTATTGTCATAGTTGACATCTAATTAATACGTACATTGACTTGAGAAAGGATCAACATTTCTCACTGTCGTCACAATTTATTTTAGAGGTAATAATCAACTTTCATTTTTTCCTCTAATGGATTTTTTGTTTTCCTAGTTCTAATTAAACTGATATGTTTGGGTTTTGAGTGGACATCTATTACTATAGACCTTAAAAATTTGGAATTTTTTTTAAAACAAAATCCTCATAGAATATTAAAAAAATGAGTGAGTAATTGTTTTCTACAACTTTGTTGTCATCAGGCTCTATAGAGTTGTAAGCCCATAATTATTGTATTATTTTAAAAAAAAACCTTAAAATAAAGCATGCTGTAAATGTTTAAAAATGATAAGACTTCGCCATTGTTACGACTCGCCAATATAGCTGAAACTATTTGGATAAACTAGAAGCAATCGAATCGATGTATCTAAATCAGATATACCTTGATCCATGACAGGATCACCAGAAAAATTAAAATGAACATTATAGACCTTTTAACCCCCCCCCTCCTCCCTGATTTCTTTTACACTTATCGATTCCTTACTTGCTGAAGAGTTTCGTAAAAATAATTTCTATGGGATTGAATAGGTAGTGGTTTTATGTGGAACATTACCATTAGGCATTTTTTTCTACTTTTTCTTACAGTGAATGTGTTAGCTTCTGGTTTAACGGAACTTAAGAAATTCGCAATCTCTCCATAAAATCAATTTATTGATTTTAAATAATGTAATAGAATCTAATCAAACTTCACTTTAGAAATATGTCAGTAAACTGACAAGCTATTAACAACGATATACCTTTTTATTGTAAAAGCACCGAAGATTAGTGAATTGCAAACATTCTCTTTCTAAGTGTATGCACAACCAAAAAGGTTAAAAATGCACATCATTCATTCAGATTGAGCAGCAGAAAGCATCTCTATGCTCCGAATTAATGATTTTTTTTTTTGAAAATTACAATCTTCTTGAGTATTTTGCTAACAATGATTTATAAAATATAATCAGAATATCGAAATCTAACTATTATCTTTATCGATTAGTAAAAGTAATCAAAATTGAATCATTTAAATCATTCCTTTTTATCTCAATAGTATGAAAACTTCAATGCTGCGATTGATTAATATACTATATGAGTTATCATTAATATGAGATAATGAGTATAGTTTGTGAAATACGATCATTGAATAAAAGACTCAAGCCAGTGATTTGTTTTAACTTTAGTTGAACATTGAAAAAGGTACCGGAATAAAATTAAGTAAAACATCACTTTAGTTTCTTTGACTGATTTCAAAGAAAAATTTTTAAATCTGACTAAATTATACAACTCTACATAATTTTTGAGAGTAAATAGATTTGCATTTTCTTTCAAAATAAAAAGGAAGAATTAATGTACTACGAGAATGTTAACTATCCGATCAACCATACAATTAAACAATAATGCCAAGATTCACACATTTGAAATCATCACTCAATCATTGTTAGACCAACATTAGAAACCTGAAAGCACTGGACAGCCTTATCGTTCTGGTATGGCACTCATCAGCAGTGCGTACCCACGACTCCTGCACCTCGCAGGATTCGAACCTAGGACCTTCGGTATTGTGCGCAGACGCCTAACCATCGGACCACTTGGCCGGAATCCAATGGTGTCAATGTCTAACTCTGATTGATCTACGGATTTTGCGCGACCTCACCCATTTGTCTTTGGTAGTTACTGCCTACAGCCGACAAGGTTGAACTCCACTGGTGACGTCTTCCAGGTTTCTAATGGTGGTCTAACAATGATTGATTGATGATTTCAAATGTGTAAAAAACACAAATCTCCAAAGCTCTAACTGAAAATGCCAAAATCGCAAACTTACCTTCCACATATAAGCCTCTTTTCCATAGACAATAGCAAATGGTTTAGATAAGGATTGATTTGTGGTGTTAGATTTAAATGGGAATATTTCAGTAACAAAACCTAGAAATGTGTTATCCGGTGTATGAGCTGAAATTAAATAAGGCGGAAGAAGGCTGTAAAGGTAAGATAACAATAATAACAACAACAGTGTCTGTATACGTGCATATCAAACAAATGATTGAAGTGACGAACAAGATGAAGGCCGTTCCCGACAGAAAATTTTATAATTGTATCAGTTATTAATTTTTAACATGTAATAGTTTGTAAGTAACGAAAAAATCGAATTGTTTCAAAAATTACCAAAATCTTTTGAGTAACGAATACAATTTTGATGGTATAGCAAGAACATGATATTTGCACAATGCATTTCGAGCAGTCTTGTTATAGAGATATTTTATTAGGCCCTAATATATAAAAGCTAAGTTACTATCGAGTTAGTATAATGACTGTTACAACTATACTTCTGTTGGGGACGTTAGATCCTCAGAACTAAACTTGATAAAGGTCTTACTTTTGGATTTTACTCATGGGCTAATCAGCTGACCTTGAGATTACAGTTCCCCTCAGGAAAATCCTTGGCTGTGATTGGTTGATGTGTTATTTTAGTATGTTATTTTTGTGACCCTCGCAAAGACTTTTCTATGATGTATAAATAAACGCGATTCGTGTGCTTGAGATCACTGTATTTTCTGGGTGCTTATGTAATATACTTCCTACGCTATATCAAGGCTTTTTCCTCATTTAATTGGGGAAAAGGATCAGAGTAGCTTATCGTGTCACTTGTTCATTGTCTCGTTCTCGTTTATCGACTAAGGTGAACTCGTAATATTTTCAAGCCTATCAATTGACTAGCATAACAATTTCACAAACAAGGAGCATAGTTTTTTTATTTCATTGGATTTATTAGAGGATCATGAAAACTGATTATAAGTCCATTTTAGTACATGCTTGTTTCACATATTTTGATAGACTCAAGAAACAGAAAACAATCCTCTTCAATAATGTAACACACGATGAGAACAGTTTCTAGAGTTTAACCTTACAACAGCTTTTAAAACTTGATAAAGAAAATTTCACGGTTCAATTACTTTATTCCAACTTCTTTTTGTGTCCAAAAATTTATTTATTTGAACTATAAATCAGCTTTGGGTAATCCTCGGTCTATTTTAATGATTCTGTGTAAAAATTCTTATGGCTTTCTATATTATCTCTCTTACTTTTTCTAAATCTACAATGATCATGTTTTATTTATCTTAATCGTATATGTAATCGGCCTTTCGATAGTTCTGCAAACATAAGTGTCTTGACATATAAATCTTTGATTAGCTTGTTCAAAATGTATTTAATCAATCAAACTGGAATGTAACAAAATATTGGTTTCTAATTCAACAATTACATCATTTATTCAATGAAATAGATTTATGATAGTTATTAAGTCTAAACAATCATATAAATTAAGTTGTGAATTATAAAGACTTCAGTTTTTTTCATCCTGTTGAACAGTTATGTGTACTATTAGGTAACGCGTAAGAAGGCAGATTAATAGGTATAAAATGATAAGTTAATGCATATTACTAGTTCAAATTTCATTTAAATGACATTCTCATAACAAGTCAGTCAGTAAATAACAACGTAGAACTTCGGATATATGTACATCAATTTAAGTTGCCATACCACATTAGCACAGAGACGCAATTGTCAGTTCAAATCCCATAGTGATAGAGATTGTAGAAGTATGATAACGTTGGTCTTAGAAACCTGGAAGCTTGACCTCAGAGCCCAAGGGACAATAGCTTGAGGCCGGTCACGCACGACCTTTTAATGGGTAGTATTTGTAGTGTTAGCTCCGTTCTTGTTTAAAAGGCCTTACAGCTGGAGACGGAAATCCGTGAGGTAAGTTGAGGTGTGACATCTTTAGGGTCGACCTTTTCTAACCCTTCCTTTCTTTTGAGAAGGCAGCATCGCTGCAGATGCTGGTTGTCCGAGGGAAACACCTTACTGCTGTCACACGTCTCTACAGTCAGCAGTACGACTTCGCCATCAGACCTCGAGTAGCTGCTTTTATTCTCATCGTTCTCCAATCGACCTGCCCGGCATGGTAGAACATTTAGGAACATATGTTCCAACCAGTATTGCTTGGTTGGGTTGCGCAACTCCGTGAATTGATAAAGTTAGTCATTAACACCGTTAGATATCAGCTCGGTGGTCCAGGGGTTAGGCGTTCGCGCATGATACCGAAGGTCCCGGGTTCGATTCTTGCGGGGTGCAGGAGTCGTGGATGCTTATTGCCACTGATGAGTCCCATACCAGGACGAAACGGCCGTCTTCCAGTGCTTCCAGGTTTCTAATGGAGGTCTAAAATTGATCGATTCATGGTTTCAAAATGTGTAACCCTAACAATCTTCACAACCCCATAATGCAAAAACAAAATTATCATTTTTATTGGTGTTGACACTTTTGTTCGTCTGCGACTGTATTCTGTGAGTTATAGAGACATCTGGTGATGTCGATCGCGTTTATCAAGTGAGAAATTTTGTGTGGTTTTAATTAATTACTAATTAAACTTCAATGTTGCCATCGAAAATCTTCAGAACAAATATATGTTCTGTTAACTCACAATAGGTCAACATAGCAGCTTAAGTTGAATTTAAAACAATATGAGTACATGTTTATTTGTCAGTAAAACCTACAAAAGTGAAACTGGGATCATTCCTTAGTGCTATAAATCTCAGGAACCAACAATTATAATCGATGTATTTCAGTGAATCCTGTAGACAGTAAAGTTTAGTCTAAAATGATGAAGCAAGTACATCAGAGAATATTCAATAATAAGTATGAAGATGTCTTTATTGAAATGAAAGTAAGTATAGATAAAAATATGACAAATGGAGTTGAGGCATAATTCAACCTGTGTCTTAATTTAAAAGTTGATTGCGAAATTAACAGGATGAAATTTAACTACATCACCTATTCATAAATTAATTTAATATGATTCGGGAGCTGAAATCACTATTAAACAAATAATTGAGATTTTATGAAGATCACCGAATATTGTTGAGACTAGGACGTGACTTAATTTTAACTACTAATAAACTATCGAATGCCAGATCTCAGTTGTCCAAAGATTAAACTATTACTGTGCCATATGATCTTGTGTATTATGAAATAAGATTGCAAATGAGCATTTAAATGGCCTTACATCAAAAATAAATAAATAAACACTAGAACTGATGCTTGGCTTACGAAAAAATGTATAAAACTGTTGTAAATTTAAATGTAATCCACCCCAACGTTCTTCGTTGCGATTATATGTAGCTTCTGTTCCAAATGTATCCAATATACGAAATTTACATGTTGATTCACTTGATTAATACGGATAATCCAAAAAAAAGTGAAAAGAAATTGATATTCAGCATTTGATTGTATAATGAATATTTATATTAATTGTTTAATAAATCCATCCATACCAATCATCGTAGCAACAGACGCTTTAGCATATGGCCTAAGGTGCTGTTTTTTCACATCAGTTTCCAGACACGTCAGAAAAAGCCGTTATGCATGCATCCCGTACACTAACCTTAGCAGAAAAGAAGTACAGACAGATAGAGAAAGAGGCTCTTTTGCTCTTATGTTTGCTGTTCGCCGTTTCCACAAGTTTCTGTACGGTCAGAGATTCACGCTCCTCACAGATCGCAAGCCTCTGTTAGCAGTATTCAGTTCTAAATCTGGCATTTCAGCCCATTCTGCAAATCGTCTTCAGAGATGCGCCTTGGTGCTTTTGGAGTATGATTTCGAAATCCAATATCGACGAACTCTACAATTCGGTCAAGCAGACGCTTTGTCACGACTCATTAATGATCAAGTGGCTGCTGAAGAAAACATGGTGATCGCATCTCCGTTAGTAGAAGAACAGGCGGAATGTTATCTGACAACCACAATTCGCGTATTACCGGTATCTTAAACATACATACAAAATGCTTCTAGAAACGACCCCATCATCAAGATGACGATGAAATACATCACTAACTGTTGGCCGTCGAAGAAGTTTGATGGTGACATGAAGCAACTCTATCAGCGGAGGGATTCACTATGTATCGTCAACGATTGTTTGATGTTTGGTGAAAGAGTAGTGGTGCCACAATCCCTTCGTGCTGATACAGTTCCATCTCGGTCATCCTTGGGTTAAACGAATGAAGTCCATAGTCAGGAGTCATGCGTACTGAACTCTCGTTGGGGATGTTAGATCACCAGAACTTGCTTGATAAATATCTTTATTTTGGATTTATTTCATAGACCGATCAGGTGAATGGGTGTTTGTAGACTATACTTTCAACGCTATATCAAGACTTCTTGCTGGTACAGTTGGTTCAAGGGATCACAGTAGCCTACGTGGACGCTGGTTCATTGTTTTGTTCTCGTTATTCGACTAAGGTGAACTCGTAATAGTTTAAACATACCTAGAGACGAGCGCAACAAAATTATTTGATGATTTTAAGATGTTTCAGGAAAATGCATAACTCGTAACATATTATTGTAATTCGACAAAAACATAAAACTTATCAACATACCGGATTTCACTTCTACTTAACTGTCTGAATCCTGGAATATCTGTGTATATTAAGTCGTATTCAGTAGTTTTCACCTTACATGGTATACTGTCTGAATTTGAAAGAAGCCTGTCGTCAATTGGGATGATAAAAAAAGAAAAAAATCAATTAATTTTGTTTTCTTTTAAATTGGAAAAAAAATATATATATACCAACTAAGGAAATAAAATAAAATCAGTGTTTAATAACCATCAGTTAAAATGATATCGAATTACTGCCATTGTCGAATAAATGCAAATCCTACATGCTATGTACTTGATAAATTTCATTGTCAGGATAATTATAAATGTATGCAGTCTATGGATTTTAATTTATATCGGAATATATGGCGATGGCATACTAGTTTGTCCTTAATAAACTTCATTCTCTCTTGATTAGTCGGCTTTTAATTTATTAGGCTCTATCGTTTAACCAAGAGGAAGGCCAAGAAACACATTACGCCGAGAAATAGAGAAAGATATGAGTAAAATGAACAACAGTTGGACAGAACTGGAAACGGAAGCCCCAGATAGGGTAGACTGGAGGATACTGGTCAGTGGCCTATGCTCCACTGGAGGTAACAGGCGTAAGTAAGTAAGTTTCGTTTAACTCCACCTGGGGCCCTTCTAGGACTACTGAGGAGTAAGGGAGAAGGGCCATGCATCGGGGTTAGTGACCCTCATCTCGTAGAACACCAACGCGCTAAAAACATACTAACCAGGAAAAATAATTCAAATCATTCAAACTCTATCCTGGTGGTTCGAAAATCCTCATTAAAAACGGTTATGACGCCTCATGATGAAAGTGGGATTTCTTCAGAATTCACAAAGCCGATGTCCTTCCTCACAGCCACAGCAACCATTAGTTTAAGTAAATGGAGTGTTCGTACATCGAGGGAGACTGAAAGAACCATTCAAGTTGTTGCGCAAAAGAAAAGATACAACCTGGTGGTATTCGGAATCAGTGAAGTACACTGGACGCAGGTTGGACAATAAAGACTGGCTTCAGGAGAGCTGCTGTTATACTCCAGCCATGAAGAACAGAATTCCTCACATATACAGGGAGTCACACTGATGCTGTCCAAACAAGCACAAAAGGCACTTATACAGTGGGAATCTCATGGACTCAAGATCATCAAAGTATCCTTTCAAACAGAGAAAGAGGGAATTATGATGAATGTCATCCGCTGTTATGCGTGTACCACCGATAACAATGAGGACGTTAAAGATCAATTCTATCAGAGACTGCAGTCACTCAAAGAGAACTGCCAAACAAAGAACTTAACCATTTTGATGGGATGCCTAAACCCTGAAGTTGTCATGGACAACACTGGATATGAAGACATGGAATGGAAGAAAGGAACGAAAATGGTGAGACATTTTCAGATATATGCCTTCAACAACATATTTCCACACAAGCCCATACACAAAGCCACATGCGTTTGACCGGATTACACTACAAATAGAGTAAGCAATCTCTACATAGGTTAGTAATGAATGCTCATTGAGATTTGGAGTTACCAATAAGAACCATGATTTATGGAATCTCTTGTTTGACTTACAGTGTTTGAGTAAAGAAACTTTATATGGTTTACTCACTTCTCGGTACATCTTTCAACGACAAACATTATCAAAGGACTTCTCGAAAGATTAATTTTGAATTCAACATTTATTTCTATATCATAATTTATAAATCTGATCAATACAGCTACGGTCAAGTCTAAAATTTGCCTAGTTTCCTTTAGCATTCTGTTTTGAGCTACATTTATGCTCCAGTCATGCATATATTCATCTGCATTTATCACTGAATTAATTCTTTCATTTCTCATAGACCAAGAAAATTAAATATCCAGAATGTGCAAATTTGATTAGCATGAAATAAAAGGTCCTAACTGATTAGCCAATCATTTTTAACAATGTCATTAGATCACTGTCGCTACAACCTCTTGTGCAAAGCCATCAGCTCCTAATACTCTATTATAGGATTTCTAGTTTTTGCAAGAGTCGAGAAGTCTTTTTGCAATCACTTATTCGGACTGTTGAAAATACCGGGCAACTGAAGAGTGGTTGAAGTTCGGTTGAAATGGTACTCAGAAGGTTATGCCTACCTTACTTGTTGCTGTAGCTGAGAGCAGATAGTGTTATTTATTTCATCTAAGAGAGTTATCCATTGATGTTACAACTATACCCTTTCAACCTACACTTCAGTCTGTGTAGGTTTAATTTGGTTAAGCCATTCAAATAAATTATTTAGCATACAGTGTCATCCGGTCAGTAACAATATTTCTATATCTTTGTATCATTATTATGTTGATATGATCATGTATGGTCAATCAAGCATGATAGCCTACAAACAGATTCCTCTTATTAGCTTATATGTTGAATACTCAAATCACTCAGTAACCCGTTCGTTTGCCTACTTCAATATTTGTACTTTTTACATCCAGTTTATTCGTTCTCAGCGTTTGCTCACATTCATTTGCATTCACATATTTGTTTGAATTAACTTCGGTCACTTGTGGCTTCGTGATCTGTTCAATACTATTATAAACTGTAATCAACGCCTCATATTTTCTTCTGAAATTTATACACCACTGAAAGTTATCTCATAACAATTATCTGTCTGTCATATTTTGACCATTTTAATGCATAAATCTATATGCCGAGAATATATATATATATATATATATATATATATATATATATATATATATATGTATATATATATCATACTGAGATTGAATAGAGAGATTACTATTTTTGATATATATTGAGTATAGCAAATATTATAGTTCTCAACGATGAGGCACCATCAAATATGTAAGATGCACATGAATAGATGAAATTTCAAAGGTCATCTGACTAATAATAACACTACAATTTCTAAATATGATCTATCGTTGATTTGAACATTAAATTTTTGTGTATACCTTAATAAGTCTTCAAAATGTTCAGCTTATGAACTTAACATTTTTGATGAGTCTTATTCTCAGGTATAAAGTTTATTTTCACGAGATGTAAACATTCACATTTAAATCTGATAATTAATCACAACTAATTTTACTTGGAATAATTGTTTTCAAATAATTTCTAATTGTAAATGTTATAATTTTAAGAAACCATTTAAGGAAAACAGATATCAAAAACGTGATTTTTTTAAGTAAATTGTATAGTGTAAACAGTAATAAATTTTTTGAGAGTATGAAATTTATTTTATAACCTCTGTTGTGGTTGTACTACTTACAATGAAGGTTATAAATTGCATGAAGTTGATATGCAGTTATATTTCCTTGAATTTACAAACAAAGTGAATTATTAGATCCGAATGTATGGAGCGATCAGCATTTTTTACATAATAGAGAACAGGTTGAAGACAGCATGTATAGAAACTGTATGTTTTATGACGAAGTGTACATATTTTGGCTTATAAAACGTCTTCTCCAAATAATGTTCCCAATCATTACAATGTCTAACCACACCAATCAGCTATACTCTTTTCCCACCAATCAGAGGAATGGTTTTAGTCGGCCAATGAAAAAAGTATTGAATTTAGTTCAGAAATGTCAGTCCTACTTAGCGTTATTACCAGTCACATTTATTTCGAATGATGAAGCTGATATGATTTTCAGAGAGATGTTCGTTAGCTAGAATTTTTGACGTAAGCAGAACTCCAGAGACAATTAAGAGCTTATGAGATTATGACCTGTTATTTCATCGAAATCTTAATGAATTTCACCAGTCATAATCACGAGTTGTTGTGCATCACTTAAGAGAAAGATTCTCGTTTTCGTCATTTGGCAGGCGAATAGAAGAGTACGATCCGTTCGGACCACTAGCTTTTGTCAGCGTTAAATTTGTACGTGAAAATCACGGCAAGAGAATAATATCCCAAGATGCTGTCACTATGCGACGACATTTATTTACGCGATTGAAATTTCCAGGTTAGTTTAAAGTCAATTATCTCTACTCAGCAGGTGGTTTGAGACGTAAGCTGCACATATCATTGATCTTGGAAGTACAGCTGAAGTGAACAGCAGCCTAGAATATTAACTTGTTCAAAAGGAGACCGTAATCATATTGCTTGTAGGTTTACGACTACTTACAGAATAACTTATCACAATAAGGAAAATTGGACGAGAGTCTTCAAACCACGGCGAATGCTCTGAATGTAAAAAACACAAGCTTTGCAGCATCAATGCATAAGATTTTGTAGATATACAACCTAAACCGCAAACTTTCTGCGTCACATAGAGCGGTTCACCTACTTGTAATTAGATTACATGAAATAAGAAAAGATATGTCTAGAAAAGTCGTATCCCATAACAGTCCTGGGTTACTGGATGTAAGAAGCCATATCAACACGAAAGCATATCAGTTATTGAGGACTGAAATTCATAGAGAAGTTCGTCAAATGATCAGGTAATTAGAAAATACCTTTACATTCATCTGTCACATAAGGAAGTATACTGTAAATACAGATCTTACGAAATGCAACTGCTCTTTCATATGTGACATACAATTATCGGGTCAGAATCTGACCCTTTTTTAGGTCAATGAATTGGTCAGCTGGATTAGATTTTGTGAAAGACAATTGGTTTTAATCGAAAGAGTATGTAAACCTTGGTGAATTACAACACCGATTACCTAACATGATAGTTCAATGAAATATCAGTCAAATATTAATAAATCATCAAAGAATTTGGCTGGTAGTCAAATACTTGTTACACAAGTGTGAATTCAAACATTCATGACATTTAGATATATTGACCTATTTGTAAGGCTAAGCAGTTGACCTATATCAATTAGTAATTAGAAGTAATTATAGGTCTCAAGCCATTATTATCATATTATTGATATTTTCGATGAAGTATATGTGATTACTTTCGTACAGTTGTTGAAAAAAAGCTATTACTTCATTAATTGTAGTTTTTATGAATTAAGGACTCTATGAACACAATATTGAGTGATTTCAACACATTCAGTTTTTTGCGTATCATCTCCAAATTGTAAGTGTGTACACATTTGAAATCATCAATCATTCATCGTTAGACCAACATTAGAAACCTAGGAGCACTGAAAGACGGCCGTTTCGTCCTGGTATGGGACTCATCAGTGGAAGTGAGCATCCACAACTCCTGCGCCCCGCAGGATTCGAACCCGGGACCTTCGGCATTGTGCGCGAACGCCTAACCATCGGATCACTGGGTCGGCATCCAACGGGGTTAATGTCTAACTCTGATTGATCTACGGATTTTGCGCGACCTCATCCATTTGTCTTTGGTAATTACTGCCTACACCCGACAAGGTTGAACTCCATTGGTTACGTCTTCTCAACTAGAACTCCGACAATTTCCTCACGAAGCTAGTCACTAGTGAGCACTGTTACGTTATTTTCAGTTATAGCTTTGGAGGTTTGTGCTTTTACACATTTGGAATCATCAATCAGTCATTATAAGACCATTAGAAATCTGGAAGCTTTGGACGGCCGTTTCGTTCCTGTATGAGACTCATCAGCAATGTGTAAAAACACAAACCTCCAAAACTCTGCACGAAAATATTGTAAGTGTATAATCATAAACGTTACACTCACACGTAGAACTTTTTTTGCCTAATGTTTATGCATAAATTTCTCAGTATATCTATTTTATTCTAGAGCATCATGCCATGTATTTCTTTCTCCGGTTACTATCTGCATCTGAGCACGTTTCTCTTACTGAATTAAAAAAAAACTCACTAGTCAAAGTAATTTTGATGACAGATAAGAAATAGCATTTATAACCAAGGTGATTTTTGAAAGTAAGAAAACATTGTCCAGTCCATCTTACAAATTTTCTAATCTAGTTTTGTTCTATGTAGTTAGTAGTGTTGATTAGTTTATGATGGAACGGATTTATTATAAAAAAAATATAACAGATTACAGTTATATTTCATATATTCTTACAGTCTTGCTTTAGAAGCTTCGTATGTTATTGTTAATGTATGGCCAAGAATGTATAGAGCACCAATGAGATCAGTCCACTGAACAAGTTCACCAAGGGGACCACCTAAAATGTATAAATTGGTTATTCGATTTAAATTAAATACAAGTATAGGTGAATACAGTTTAACAGCACATTTTTCTGATATCAGCTAACTGAAACAAGGCCATTATTGATGTGAAATCACATTTTTTTCAAGCTAGAATTCATTTCAACATTCAGTATTATAGTTTTACATTCACTGAATGTTTCGGTGACTTACAGTTTTCTTAACTGTTGCCACAAAAGCAATGGATTGGATATTCATTGTTAGAAATTAACTGTTTTGGGTGAGTAACCGAATAGACATGAAATGTTTGCTGAGAATAAAATAACACTTATTCTTAATTAACTCAATTGTTTCAATGATCTATTTAAAATCACTGTCAGTTTCACAAGTCAATGACAAAATTTCCTATTATCATAAGTTGATGTTAAATTATTTTACAACATAAAATCAATTAGTTTCTTTCTATTTTATTGTTTTGATCAAGTTAAACATAAACACCGTTAGATACCGGCTCAATAGTCCGATGGTTGGGCGTTCGCCTACAATACCGAAGGTCTTGGGTTCGAATCCTGCGGGGTGCAGGAGTCGTGGATAAGCGCACTGCCACTGATGAGTCCTATACCAGGACAAAACGGCCGTATTTCAGTGCTTCCAGGTTTCTAATGGTGTTGGTCTAACATTGATCATCGATTCATGGTTTCAAAAAAATGTAACAATCTTCACAACCCCGTAAAATACATACAAATCGTCAAATTACCTTTGGATGTTACTGTTTCGAAGTAATTACCACCAACACCATTTGATAAAAATTCTAAATGAACTAGAATCTAATATGAGAAAAAAATATTCAAATAAAATTTAATTAAATATCAAAGTATACAATGAATGGGAAATTTATTGTAACTTGAAAAAAAACAATTCTTCAAGCTATTTTCTTCAGAAAAAACTAATTATGCATACAGTTCATTAGTTAAATTTCATTGTAACATAAGTGAATGATTATGATACGATAAACTGTGTTTCATCCTTGAAGAGTTGCGGATAAAACACAATCAAGTGCTCAACCCAAGAATATATGATGATTTCGATGATAAACTAGTAATGTTCTCGTTAGCATCTAATAATAATAATAATAATACTTAACTTCGTAATTGAAGGACCGTACCAGCTGTAAACTGAATTTACTACAAAATTAAAAAGAACTTAATACAAGCGACTGTAGTAGAAAAGTCATTTTCTAAACAAGTCACATCATAAGCCAACCAGCTAGCCATAAGTACTCTCCCCCAAACACTGTGCTATACAGCTAAAATTATTCTAATTCAGAATCTACTTTTATCAGCACTAATTGCCATAACAACCATATTGAAAAAAGACAGTTTAATACAATAAACTATATATATAAAAATACAACAGTTAGTTGCATAGTAATACTTTATAATACAAATGATAAAGTGTAAGCAATTCAATAGTCTTCAATTCAACAATCTCTACAAGCTTACAAAGACAATAGAATATTTAACTGTTCTAGAAAAGGTGATATATTTTTCTCTTTTGTCTTTCTTTGATTAACAATTTTCTATTCGCTTGACCTTTCGCAGTTTAATAATGATAAACTTCATTAATAATTAAGTTGTTTTGTTTTGTTTATTAATCAGCTTGTTCGAGTATGTTTAGCACAAACAATTAATTGACGTTTTTCAAACTAACTCCATGCTATTATTACATTTTTTTTGAAAGATAATAATTATTTTCAACTGTAATACACTTACATTAAGCCTTGGTCTTCCAAATAAAAATGGTTGACCTGTTAGTTTTGTAGAGTGACAAAGTGTGAAGCAAGTTACATCATCAGAAGAACAATGTTTACAAGGATCCTGTGAATCAGGCCAAGAAGTGTTAACACCATTGATGTAGTGCTGAATTCCTGCCAGCCAGTCAGGCCACATTCGCTTTAATCTAGCATGCATAAAGGAGTGTGATGCAGAATGCTGTACAGACGAAGGTAGTATATCATGTAAACCTTCAAATTCTCGTGTTATCTATGAAAAAAAGTATTGAAAAAGTAGCTCTGTTTGAAAAAATTAACAAAATGGCAATTTTTACACAATAGTAACAAATCTTCAAATAAGGAAATAGACCTTGAAAGAAAGAAAAATATAAAAATATACCAACAACAATCGGTGTGAAAGAGGACTGGATTGAAATCTACGTAGATAGCCTTTTAGTATTGTAGAAATCGCCCTCATTCTCGAGCCATGATGTGTAAAACTTTAAGATAATCAATCACGTCAAAAATATTTCATATTTTGAAAAGAAACGAAAATGCCTCCTATCCAGTGAATCCAAAGAAGAATTGAAAGCTCTATGCTCCTTATAAAACGACAGAACAATTATCAAAAGTGACTACAAAGAAAAAGTTCTTAAACATCCATCTACAAGACCATATCTTAAATATCATTACAAGAAATCTACAAATGATTAAAAACAGGATTAAATCAGAGACAAGTGAACTTCTAAAAGAACTAGAACTCTTTATTGGTTTGTCTTATATCTAAAATTCAACACTACATCACATTTTTATTGGTTTCCTAAAATTCACAAACCGGACATTTCTTTAAGACTCGTTAGTGGACTTCACAAACACCCTGAAATATACTTTATCTTTATATATAAGAGCAGTTCAACGCTGTTCACCTTCAAATGGTTTTTTTTATATAAATAATAAAATAGAGAGGCTATGGGATACTCAGTACCTCCGATACATTGATTTCAAGCCTACACGTCTGGTCATGAATCTATTCAAAAGATCTGCCAAGATCATTACTTCAGAAAATAAGCTGAAGGAGAAACATAATCTATAACAAACATCTTTCAAATTATTAATTTTCCTATGAATATTGCTGAAAGCTTATTAAAACTAAATTATCCATCTATATATCAATGACAATTCTAATGGAAATATTTTGATTGGTCCTATCATCCTACCTTAGTGATAAAGAGCCACAAAAGAATCTAACAAATTTTGAGAACATTCGGAATCCAAGTTTTCCATAAGACGACTATAACACTACAAAACACTTTAGTTCGAAATAGGGACAAGATCCTTTTTTGGCATAAATGCATAATCGTGTCTACAAACTAGGTTTTGTTGATTGCAATGCGTTCTGTATTAAAGAGTCTTTTCCAGAATCCTCTATTCCTGTCAGAGAAGACTTCCCAATCTTAATAAGCCACACCTTTCAGTGTCTTAAGGATAAATAACTTTTTTGGTAATTCCAGACTATTTTGAAACATAATTGATTAGAAATAGGCTTTAGTGTAAAATTGTAGATATTTTATTTCTGCTAATTGGTTAACCTAATCTAAGATGCCTTTTATAATAGATTCAAACGTTTTGATTATAGAAAGTAAAATGGAGAAAAAATCTAACTAGGTGGTTTAAAGTAAAACGCTTTAACTATAAGGTTACCTACCAATCAACAGGAAGAAGATAACCTAATATGTAACAAATATTTCCTAACGAAAAACCAACGTGTACACAATTACCAGAAGAACTTCATGGAAACAATTATGGTAGATTTTATGAATATTTAAGAAAAACAGCTTTACAGGCTACAGAAATCTTCTTTATTACTAGTTTGTGAATAAGACTGCACATAAAAGTATACTCGTATAATAAAATTGTTACGACTGACTGGAAAGCCATAGAGTGTGTAGCTTAAAGCTTTCATTTGATTTACCAAGGTGAAACAAGTTAACTCTATATTATCAATATTTATAAATGTTATGTATTTTTGAGTCTAATATGAAATTTAACTATCGAGATTTTCATGTAAATGAATACAATGAAATTATGCACACATTAATATATCATTTATACCTGAGCTATTTTACTTCGTTTTACAAGTTTTCGATCATCCATTATAGGACACAAATTTTCAACCTATTCAAAAATTAAAACAAACAGAATAGTGTTGCATCAAAATTAACTTCAATACTAACAAAAAAAATTAATCAAATTGTTTTTTCAGTTTAAAAAAAAACAAAAAGAGAACGAATTTAAACTCTTTACAACAATTATAAAAATTTCATGGATGATATTGAATTTTGAACTTGATCGTTATCTTGATTAAAACACAAAAGATAAAAAGACCTAACAATGAATGGTCTATAATAGCTTCTTTCTAGAAGTCTCTTAATTACAGTTTGTGTGTACGCAGTGTGCGTGTGTGTGTGTGTTCGTGCTAGACGATATCAGTTCAAATAAGCACATGTAGTGTATTTTAGTTAACTAAACGATTATTTCGATCGATTCGAACTATGAGAAAAATGAAGTTTATGGAAGTAGAAGTAGGAACAATGTAATGAAGAAAATTTTCTTTTTCACAATGAGATCATTAGATCATGTTGTACAATTTGAGGATTTTAAAGTGTTCAAAGAAGGTTGTGTTTAATATTTGGGAAATTTACCACAAAGAATTATGAAAAACTGTTGTTTATTTAAAAAATATTAAAAAAAAAATTAATAAAGAAATTAGAAATCTAAAAAAATATAGCATTAAAAATTAGAAAAAAAAATAATAAATTACAAACAATTAATTTGTGGAGTATTATTAAAAAAAAGTCAAAAATGTTTGGACTCTCGTAGAATTACTTTTAAATGGAAAACATTTTGAAATAGAAATAAATATTAGAAAATTTACAAAAAAAGGATTTATTATTTTTGTAATCATAAATTGAAACATTCATATACTGAAAAGTAAACATGACCAAAATCATAATCGTTTTTGCACTGTTTATAAGACAGTTATGGTTGGTTATATGTCTGTCATTCAATAATCAGTGATTGATGTCTTACAACAATATCAACACCTTCACAAAATGTTATGATTGAGTGTTATACGTATAATGCCAAAGATATTGGTAATAATAATAATAATAATAATAATAATAATAATAATAATAATAATAATAATAGGCAACAGCAACAAAAGTTGATATCATTGTCTCGGAGTCAGAGGACTTTTATTTACATATACAACGACGAGAATTATGTCGCGCTCGTATGATTTTGAGATGGTGGAGAAAATTTGTAGCTCAGGTGAATGATTGTGGTGGTTTTTCGTTCTCTAAGCTGGAAGATTTGGTTGTGAAGCTTTCATTGTTCTACTTCTGAACAACAATAACAATAACAACAACAAAATCTACGGTATACAAACTTTGTTTTAAGAGAGCGAAGACACACTGCAGCGCATATGAAGAATTAAAAAACGAGGAAAAAATCTTATGATTATCTTCCAAAAGAACGACTATCCACACAACTTCATAAAAAACATCAAACGAAATCGTCAGCAGAGGCGAATTCAAGTACAGGAACTGATAAATGGATCATCCTACTATACATAAAAGACATATCGGAACATACAGCACGACTACTGAAATCATTTGGAATAGATGTGGCACACAAACCATCAGAATCACTTCAATCAAACCTATGTAGACCAAAAGACCAAATGACAAAGGAAGGAAAACCAAATATCATCTACAAACTAAATTGCTCAGACAGTGAAAAACACTACATATGACAAAGTAGACAGCCTCCTCAGCTTCGTTTACATGAACACCAATTATCATTCAAACGCCACAACAATTCTTCGCTTATATCAATACACACCGACATTCGATTGTGACAATGTGGAAATACTGATTAGGGAGAGAACAAAGAGTACTAGAGAATTTTTAGAAGCTTGGCACTCAGGTCAATCGGCAATTAACAACCAAATCGACATTGGACCAACTTATCAACCAATCAGAAATATCATAGGTGACAGAGGATCAAGAAACAGATCAAAATGGAAATGCAATCAAAACAAAGGTGCAAACAACGACAGATTTAAGGTCAACAACAACCGATCAAGATCGAGGTTAACAGAACAAGCTACAGGTCAAATGTGGAGAAATTCGAATGCTTCACTTCTTCTATCTGAAATTTGTGCTGATGATGTTGTTCAAAAGGAGAACAATGAAAAGTTCACAACCAAAACATCCATCTCAGAGTACGAAACACTACCACATTATATGCGACATTAAATAACGGCAAATAATAGGAAATATTTAGACATCACTATAATTGTTTTAGACATTCAACACGTGTGTAGGATTATATCGTCAGGATTTTAAAATTTGTCAAATCATTCCTGATTGTTACTACTTTCTGAATTTCAATATTTATAGACTTTAGATACAATAACAATCTTTAATATGAGATACATTAAGTAAACTTCGAAAATTCTAAGCGACTAAATAGTCCGTGTTGAATTTTATTTCCTTTTATTGATGAAGAGATCATTGTAATATGAAAAGTACATTCCTTTGCCTTTTTAGATAAATAATATTTATTAATATTTAATCCAGTACCATCTTGAGTTGCAGCAAAAATCATCTCTGAACAATTTCTCACTGTGTACTTGAATACCTCAATAAACTCACTAACATGACACCAATAACTAATATATTCCACCACAAGAAGTTGTTCACTATTTCAATATTCTATTAACATTTTAAAGAAATCTTGATAAATCGTCAAGGAAATTTGACGGTTAAACTGACTTAACACAAGTCTCTACAACAGATCAACACACGTACTTCTATATTTAAAATGAACACTTCATCAAAACCAATAAACTAAGATATAGATAGCTTGTTTAAACTAACTACCACAATCAAAATTTTTTAAGTTGACAAATATTTGTTTTAACTTATCATCTGAATCATTATGAAGTGTGACCTTGTGAAGCTATTCAATTCGCCTTAGTGGTAAATTCAAGGACATCAGGATGCTAAGTAAAAGCATTCAGTGTGTCATGCATGTGCTTCTCGAATGGGCGAAACATCACAATTAGTTTATTCTTCTTTGATAAATCACTTCGAACAAATTAAAACACCCAACAGGATTGAACTGCATTGTCGCTTTAACTGAACTATTTTCATTAGAATACAACTCTCATTCAAATAATTTGTATATTCGGTCAGTAATTATTTCTCAGTGAATATTTATTAGAATTTAATAAAATAATTATAGGAATTGTATGATTCATTTTTTAAAAATAGTCACCTAATTAATACAACTCACCTCACTAAGATAACGAATAAATGAAAATTCTGATCCATTAACTCCAAATTCAGCAAAACATGAATGATTTTTCCAATTTTTTCTTAACCACTGGAAATGAAATTGAATATTATAAATGGTATTTATCCAGTTAAATATGTTTGTTATCATAAGTCATATAAGATTATTGAAAATAATGAATGGAAAGCAATTGCTCACTTACTTTCTTACGCCTGTCGACCCCAATGGAGCATAGACCGGCCGCCCACCAGTTTTCTCCAACCAACTCTGTCCTGGGCTTCACTCTCCACTTCTGTCCAATTTTTGTTCATTCTTCTCATATCTTTCTCTATTTCTCGACGTAATGTGTTCCTTGGCCTTCCTCTTTTCCTTTTGCCTTAAGGGTTCCATGTGAGGACTTGTCTTGTGATGCAGTTGGGTGCTTTCCACTATGTGTGTCTTATTCATTTCCAGCGCTTCTTCCTGATTTCTTCCTTCGCTGGAACGTGGTTTGTTCTCTCCCACGGTAGGTTGTTGCTGATGGTGTCTGACCAACGAATCCAAAATATTTTGCATAGACAACTGTTAATGAATACTTGTATCTTCTGGATGATGGATTTGGTAGTTCTCCAAGTTTCCGCTTCATATAGTAGAACTGTCTTGAACTTCGTACTGAAAATTCTGATTTTTGTGTTGGTTGATTGTTGTTTTGAGTTCCAGATGTTGTTCAGTTGTAGGAATTCAGCCCTAGCTCTGCCGATCCGCGCCCTCACATCTGCATCAAACCCACCATGCTCGACAATTTTGCTGCTTAAATATGTAGAGCATTTTACGTCCTCCAAGGCATCTCCATCAGGAGTGATTTCGTTGGCGCATATGGTGTTGTACAGCAGATGTGATCGATTTGGTTCTGTATAGTATGATCCAAGGAAATCCATGTAGCTTTGTATGTGCATTTATGTGGGAATATGCTGCCGCCTGTGACCAGTTTTTTGAAGGCGAATGGACCTGCAAGTCTATTACTGTTTTCGTTCCTTTCTCCAAGTCCATGTCACCCCATGATGTCTTCATATCCAGTGTTGTCCACGCCAACCTTGGCATTTAGGTATACCATCAGAATCGTCAAATCCTCGGATGGGCATCTGCCGACGATTGAATTCAGCCTTCCATACAGTTGATCCTTAACGTCTTTATGATAGTCGTTGTCAGGTGCGTAGCGTTGGATGAAGTTGATTGTAATGGTCTCCTTCTCTGTTTTGAAGGATGCTTTGATGATCATGAGTCCATGAGATTCCCATCCTCTCAGTGCCTTTAATGCTTACATGGACAGCATCAGTGTGACTCTCTGTACATGTGAGGAGTTTTATTATTCATGACCAGAGTATCACAGCAGTTCTCCTGAAGCTAGTCTCAGCTGTTCTACCTGTGTCCAGTGCGTTTCACTGATGCCGAGCACCTCCAGGTTGTATCTTTTCATTTCTGCAGCAACTTGAAATAGTCTTCCAGTCTCCCACAATGTTCGAGCGTTCCACGTACCTAAAGGAATGGCTGCTCCGGTTCTCAGAAGGGGCATCGGTCTCGTGACTTTCAAAGGAACTCAACTTTCATCATGAGATGTCTCAACTTTTCTGAAAGAACGCCTCCTAACTCTCAGGGCAGAGTTTATATGGTTTGAATTGTTTTCTGGTTAGCGTTGTTAGCGAATTAGCTTTTTTGGGATGGGGTCGCCAACCCGATGTCCAACCCTCCTCCTTTATCCAGGCTTGGGTTCGGCAGTAGCCCTAGAGGGGCTCCATGGGAAGTTCAATGGAAAATAGAAAATTAAATTTCTGCCATTTCAGAGAATAAATATATATTTAAGCCTATACAAAGTCACGGAACGTAAAAAATTTAATTTCATACTTATTGACATTTCAAAAATCTGTTACTGATTTTATTACTAATAAACTATTCAATATCGAACTGATTGAAATCTTGGTAAGTAAACTTACAGTCTAATTAATAAGTAGAGATATCTGAGTCTAGGCTTTATGATGATTGTTGGCTTGAACTAATAAGTGGCCACATCACAATTGCATAGACAGAATTTGATAACAGTAGTGACAAGTCATTGATGAATTCGTACATTCAATTGAATATTTGATTTATATACTAGATTTTATATCATAAAGAAATGAGTAAAATGCTAACAAGGAGAATGCAGTGTGAACAGTTTATATACTACTGTTCTTTGTTGACAGAATTTGATTTGAAGTTAAGAATTAATCATGTTATTTCTATCAAGTACTTGGAAGAACTGGGTTTGTGGTCGTATAAATAATAAAATTCAGAGACATAGCAAATGTTCATATACTCAGTCTAGTCCATACTGTGAAAGATAACCGATTTTTCTTTAATAAATAACGTACAGTTCCTAAACGTAAACTACTGATTGATAAGTTTGTTAAAATCCATTGAAAGGACATAGAACTTAATATAAAAACACTTATAAATAAAAACGCAAGACAACTATCACATCTTATGCCTAATAATGAAATATTGTGAGATCAAAACCGAAAAAATACTAATTTCATTAAAATAAAGGTTAAAATATATTTTCTCTGCTCAGTTTTGTTTATCAAGGATATATAAGAAAACAATGAACGAATATGTTACGTAAAACGATTACAAACAATTTCTTCATATAATACGCTAAATGGGAAATGGGATGGTTAACCATTTACGGAAATATATCTCTATGTATTCCCGGAATGAATAATTTACTTTATGATCATCATCTGTATCCTTAACTTCGCCCACAGCCCTTCTGAGGTTACTCTCAATCCCTAGCCCGGATAAAGGAGTAAGGTTGGGAATGGGGTTAGCGAACACATCCCGTGGAAAACCAACAAGCTAAAAAACGCTAATCAGGAAAAACAAATCAAACTATTTAAACTCTGTCCTTGAGGATGAAAGCAGATTTCCATCAGACGTTAAGATGGCCGGCGTTCTATGCTCCATTAGGGGTAACAGGCATGAATAAGTAAGTAAGTGCCCCTATCCGTAAATGTATTTTCATAGATTCGAATTCATGTATGTATTTTGACTATGTCACTTATTCGCTAATTTTTTGGTTTTTTTTTATTTTATTGTGTGTGAGCATCGTTTATTTTACTTATCACATATCTAGCCTATTTTAGTCTGATTTAGTTATGGCTCATCTTTCGGGGTGATCTGTTCGCCTTCTCCACTTCGCTTTTCTTCCCTCTTTTTTATCCTGCAGTCAAATATCATGATATTTCTTCCCTTATATCGATACATTCATTTGGAACAATGTTGAAATACTGGATAGAGGCAGTCCAAAGAATTTTTAGAAGCTTAGCACTCAAGTCAATCAGCAATCAACAAACACATCGACATTGATCCGATCTATCAATCAATCAGAAAAATCATAGACTAACATAGGGTCAAGAAACAGATCGAAGGGGCATACAATCAAACGATAGGTTTAAGGTCAATAGCAAAAAATCAAAATTGAGGTCAACAAAATAAGCTACGAGTCATGCTTATAGTAATTCGAATACGTCACTTCTATTTGAAGTTTGTGCTGATAATGTTGTTCAGCGTAAGTACAATGAAACCTTCACAACCAAAACTTCCAGCTCAGAGGACGAAACTCTACTATAATAATCTCCCTGAGCTATAACTTTTTCCCATGACCTCATAATAATAATAATAATAATTATTATTATTATTATTATTATTAGTAGTAGTAGTAGTATTAGTATTATAATAAATAAGTAATCGATGAAATATAAGCTGAGAGAATGTCACAGATTTCTTAACATTAAGTATTTTCATTGAAATCATCAGGGCACTCCTTATTGATTACTTTTTGAATTATCAGTGTGAATATTTAAGTATAATCTATGCCAATAGCTTGTAGTGCCTCCACATATATTCCGGTTGGCTCAACAGCCTTCTCCAATTCACGTCGCTTCTTTCGTTTTATTCGCTGCTTCTCCGATTCGCTTTTTGGTGTGTCCCAAATAAATGTATTCCTCGCTACTAGTTGACCTTCTGATTTATAAACCGTCAGACGCCATTTAGTAACGATTACCTAGACGAGCTAATTACCATGCTTAAGAACATGCCGTCGAAATCTACCACCACAGATGGTGAGCCCATGCGTTCATTCATATCACTCCCCGATTCGCTTGCCCGATTAATTCGTACATACTACTTCAAAGAAAATCAGGGAATCGACTCACTGCAAGCTTAAAACATTTACATTTCCATCATTCAACTACTTGTTGACCGATGGTCCTGATGGTCTAACATTTAATCAGTTCATGATTTCAATGAAACTCAACAATCTCTACAACCCTATATTGATAATAATGTTTTTTTTAATGCAATGTGCTACTGAGACAAAGATGCATCACAAATAAAATGATACATAAACGAAATATAAAAATTTACTTCAGTTCTGGACAAACACTGTGGATATTCTGTTAAATTTTTGCTTTGAATATCACTTTCATTGACGGCATCAGATGAGCGATCTAGAAAAATGAGTTAAGCGAAAATCAACAGATTAATTGAAATAAATAATGAGTTCTAAATATACAGCTAAATTTATTCCTCTCTGTCATTACATTTTACTGAACCTTTTATTGGTAAAACTTTGATTCATCTTTTCATTTTCTTATGGAACTGCTAACTTCCAATTGGCTTTTTTTCTATCAAAGACCTATCTGCACTTTTAAACTTTGAGAAACCCGATAAAAACGTACTTTTTACCATTCATTCTGGTAAACTTTCCATTGACAAGAATATAATATGGAAAGCATCAGAAGTAAAGCATACTTCATCTTAAATAGTCGTTTTTATCTTCGTATACTTTCTTATCGTGAAATAAGAGAACCCAAACTATTTCCAAAAATTAGACGAAACAATTCAGATATTTAACAGTTTACTTATATTTGACCGTTTCAACTTTAAAATGTAATCCAGTACACGAGTACTCTGTATTGGTTACATTGCCTTTTCGAAATAATCAGTCAACTTTTAATTGTTAATACTATAAATATACAAATGATAATGAGTTGATTATGAAATATCCCACAAATAGTGTGAAATTCACGATTGTAACTTGCGAAAAAAGATAACATCAAATCAATCAATAATTTGAAAATTTGTAATTAATTACACTTTAAAGTACATACCATATTGGCTGGATTCTACATTAGCAGGATCATGAAGACTCATATTTTGATGATTATTTCGAGCCCTGATAAGCTTCGGAAGGCGGCCATTAACAGAAATCTATAAAACACACAAAATTCAACACAATATCAGTCTTTTTTAAACAATATAACAAATCAAAATTATTGATAAGTGTGGACAGTGTTTATTAATTTACAATGAGCTTTCAGTAACGATATTAATTATTTTACACACAGAACAGAAAATAACAAAAAAAAGATGTCGGAGTTGATTTTGTTAAAGTTCATGGGTTTCGACTACCCAAGTTTCAACACTAGAGTGAACATTTTCTCACTATTATGCATTTTAATAAAGACTTTTTTATTAAATTTGTAATTTCTTCATTATAAGAATAATTTTTTAAGTCTGATGATACTCTGTTAAGTATTGACTTCCAAATGAAATTTCTTTCTGGTCGTAAGCAATGGTGAGAATCACTTAAAATTCTTAATCAAACTATGATAAATGGATGATTAAACTTGTAAAACTAGCAGACTTATCCTGAAGTATATTTCAATTAGTGCAAACACTTCAATTTTAGGTGTTCATGTTTTATAGTTCATTTTTTTATCACTCAATATAATAATTTAAATATTCTAAAGCTTCTTCAGTGTTTTTTGTTTGTTTGTTTGTACACTTCCGTGTAACTAACTCAATGCGTGTTTTTAATACACTTTTAACAGTTTCACCAAGTTTTAAAATCGAATTAATGAATCACAGATAAAAAAAGCATACCTGATAATAAGTCACGCCGAATGTATTATCATTATCGATCAGATAAAATAATCCGAGTAGAAAAGTAAACAAAATAAGAATGTACAAAATCCGATATTTTTTGCAATTCCTTTTTATCCATCGGCTGTAGAAGAAGAGACCTTTCATCAGGTGACAATCACTCGGACAGGTTGTTTCAGTTACTTGAAAAAAATAAAAGCATCAGAAAGTTAAGAAGGATAATAATTTAGATGAAATTGTAAACTTGTTTTTGTAACAGCAACAAATAAATGACTGGTAAAAATATTCATACGATTAGCAATAATCAGTCAATCTGAATGATCAGACATCGTTAAAAATAAATAATCCTTATTTAAAGTTCGAATTAAACAATGATATTTAAATGTCGTACAAATTTTAACCGGTACT